AATATCACCTCAAGTGATTAACATCCAACATAAGGTTTTTCAAAAAAATAGCACAGACATTTCAAAACTGGTCATGTCCTATACGCACACAAAAGACAATTCTGCGTTGTGTGTACTGAGTTTCATATGAATCGATCAAACTACTTCCAATAGTTTGCTCACATACTTATTTTACACACTGCACATGCATTGAGTTTTATACTGTTATTATAATGCCTCATCAAAGATACCAAAACTATAAAATTGCTAAAACTTGGAAAGAATATGCTCCACAAGATTATTAAAACAAAATTGTATTCTTTATGCAAAGCTTGGTTACCATGGAGGTACCTTAACAGACAGACACAACAAATGTGTCTTGCACACCCTCGGGTCAATCGGTATACCAAGTTTTATTACAATTTGCGTACAAATTGGAAAAAATTTGACCCAGTTTTTTACAATAGACCAACAGAAAGACTCGCCTGCCCAACTGTATCCTTATTCCTTAATACACCCTTTCAAACTACAAAGTAGTTACAGGCAGCATATCTCTTGATGGTATAACCTTGAACCGCAATACTTTGGCGTTGAGCTGATTCACGTTCATTGATTCAAATGATGCATGAAACCAACTGTTTTGCTGTCTTGTGATCATTTCTCTTTTTCGCTTGCATTATTTTAGTCACATTGATTGCATTAAACAAAAAATGAAGACTATTTACAATAAGATATTCTACAAATCTTTCTTCTGTCCATGTTGATTTTCAACAGGTTCCGAAGTATAGTCTTTTTCATGATCGACTGTCACCTCAGTTACATGCACAGTCACTAAAACCAAACACATTGTTGACTCATGGTTTGACCTCTTGGCTGTAAATTTTATAATTACTACCGTAACTTCTTCAAGGAATATAGGTTGCCAAATAGATACAAATTGAAATATCCACCATTTCCACATGAGCAAGCACTGATTTTATCACAAATTATGAATTGTATAAATCACATAGAGCTTTTATACACTGATGTCACAATTTGTCTTTTATATTCCTACATTTCTTCCATTTGTAAACTTGCCAACCTCTTATTGTAATACAATATACAAGTGCCAAGCATGGTGGCTAATCTAGCAACAATAACAATTTATTTCTGGTACATGTATATCATGCGTTATGTGACTTTTTTTTTATACTGATAGATAACCACATCCCCATGATCCCCAGGGACACTCTAGTATCAAGTTTGGTGGTATTTTGTCAAAGGGTCTCTGACATATCAAGAATACATGCTCGTAATGCTAAGCCATGCAATCTTTCACCTCCGGACCACAAAATCATTAGCAACCAAATGAGTCCAAAATGTTAAGTTCCAACCAATCCTCAAGATAGCCTAAAAACATGCCACATGGACAAATTAAATTGAGGCGATTAAGAGTCTTGCATGCAATCATGCAACAATGAACCTCATTTGACCTTTGACCTACTTATGTGACCTTCAACTCCAGAATATCATGGAGGCCAATAATGGGCATCTACCAATCAAGTATGGTTACAAACAGATGCAGGGTTGGAAAGTTAGCAACCCTAATTGATTTTTGCAGGTAAGATTTCACATTAGACTTCATTCAAATTTGTGTACAGTCACGGAGGATGGACGGAAGGACGCCATTTGGATCCCTTAGTCTCTGCTCGAAAAAAAGCAGTTCTCAAGTCAGACAATCCCAAATGTTCACTACAGAGGATTACATGGATTTCTCTAATCGGCCTAGTCTCCTGGCTAGGATCACATCAACTTGTGGTGGAGGAAATGGTGCAAGCCGGGGCCTTGTGTGTCTAGGGTCATCAGGGAGCAGAACAGCCTTCGAGAACAGTGGTCCTTGGTCCTGTTCTCTGCGTTCCAGTATCGCACCGATGAGTCCTTGTACATACATGTAGGGGTAGGTCTTGGGGACCTTCTCCTTCCGGGCCACGTAGTTGTTGGCACGCTTTGACCATACTGCAACATATCTGTATCATAAAATAAAAGAACATGCAAAATGTAACAAGTTGCATTATATGCACACTCATTCTTGTCAATTGGAAATGATTCATATCTCTTAAAGATAAACTTGAGTTCTGGTAAAAAAAGAAAATGAATTCTCACAGAATCTAACGAAACTTACACTGAATGTTCAAGATTACAAATAAATGTCATGTGCCAAACAATTTTGGAAGAAAATGTATACTGGCTGAGCAATGAGCACAGAAAGATAAGGAAATCAGGGTAGTACTAGCCCCGACAGGCCGACACCATGTGTGTTGTCCCATATACATCTTTCTGTGTAAGTGATTGTTACTTTACCAAAACTCTGCCAAATTTATGATGATTTTGATGACTCCAGAACCTTGCATTACACACCAAGTATATTATTACACTGAATCCAAGTCCGCATTTAGGGTCCAAAATCAGCAGCATGATTGACAAACCATCAGCTTACAGTCCGTCATCTACATAATTTAGATGTGCGTCGTGTACAGGGACAACTTCTTTAGATGACGTCATATTTTGGCGATTTAAAAGGGGCGTTCCCAGGAAGGACAATTAGATATTTAATAATTTCCCCAAAATTGATAAATTTCATGGGAAAGAACTGCCAATTCGGATTGCCCTGTCCAACTACACAGGGAAAACAAAAAATCATGTTTTTTTTTTTTTACTCCACCCACTTTGGATTGCCTTGTCCATCTAAAAAAAAATGTACAAATAAAAATAGGAAAAACAAGAAAGAAAAGAAAACCTTTTTTTCTTTCTTTCTAATTTCCACTCACTTTGTATTGCCTTGTTCATCAATCTGGTCGGGCCTGTCCTTGTGTGCCATGTAGTCGATGACCGCAAGCAAATTCCTTGCCCGGTTTGCTGGGTAGCTGGATGGATAAGACAAACAATTGGTATTACCACTACCATGATGAATGAATAGTAAATGCTTTAGACAAATCTCAGACTCATTGGCCCGTAGTCACAAAGGAGGTTTGTAGGAGGTTTGTACAAACCATGGTTTGACGATGGTTTACATCTATGGAATGCTGCTCGCATACCGAAAATTGTAAATTAACATTGTTAACAAGTATGGAGTTTACATTCCTTCTCCATCAGTTTACAAATGGCATTCCATAGATGTAAACCTTGGCCAAACCATGGTTTGTACAAACCTCCTTTGTGAATACGAGCCATTCACTTCAGTTCTGGATTTGTGTTGTAAATTATCGACTCTTAATTAAAGGTAGTTACATTTCCCTGCTACAACCACTCCAACTTGACTTAACATCAGGTACCGACACAAGTACGATACAAAGTCTGCTGTTTCAAGACTCTGCATGCATCCAAAAGTGATTTCAGCATTTATATAGATGTCATTCATAATTTCTCATTAACTTTGCTATTTGCTTCAAAATATGATATTGTAACTACTGTAATGATATGTTTCAACTTTTCCACAGACAATCTTACTTCAAACATACAAAATGATACTAAAAATACTTACTCAAAGGAATACCGCTTGGAAGCATACATCAGTATATGGTTGTGGAAACACTCGAGCATGCTGGTGTGCCTAAGGAATTATGAAAACAAAATAAAAACTGATATAAATGATAGGGCATTTCATTATTTTCATACCACAAAATCAATATTGAAAATCCCATGTCATACACATGAGCAAATAAGATGCATTATCTTGACCTGCTGATATGTCCCAATTTTATAGGTCATAACCGAAAAAGAGCTCAATCTTGCAAACATGTACGTAATGAACGCATTCTCATTAAATTCCTTTTGATAAATTTAAAATAGCGCCTACCGTCGTACAACGGTAGCTGCTAGTGCTACCATAAAAATCCCGGAATATGTAGTTGTGATATATAATTTCAAAAAGGTAATAGCCAATCGGTCAATTGTAGCTTGTTGTATAGCTGAATTAATATATTGACCTTGAGAGAGAGTTATAGTATACCCCATAAAGAGATTATTATTTACAATTTCATCACTTTAGACTCGATTTCAACGCGACAACGTTCACTGAATATTGTAGGATCGCATATGCTTCCAATATTTTCATTTGAACCAAATTCATCCGGACGTCTAGTGGAGCCAGACGTAGTCTCAGTGGAACAACCGACGATATAGAGACTGAAGCTTTCGGTCTACTGTAGACCTAGGCTAGACTAGATGATAGATCTCAATATCATATGATTCATGAAATCTGAATTAAAAATCCAAGGCAAGAGATAACAAAACGTAATTTCTTAAATTTGCCGATTCCATGCATCTAGTCTCTAGACTAGATCCTCTAGATCAAATTAAAACGGTAGGCCTACCCAATGCAGTGGGGCGTATATCATTTCAACTTACCTCTCAGTGAGCTGGCATAGCCATAGGGTCTATTGCATCCTCTAGACTCGGCAACGAGAAGGCCGCCTGCAGCTCGCGAAGTTTCTCCGCCGTACCCTGGCCTTGTTCACAGCCACTCCCGCGCGCGCGTTTCCGTTTTACACCCTGCCCTAGGCTTTTCGTCAAGAAATTACACGAAACATGCTGTATCCGAAGTCTAAGTTTGTTTATATCGACGTCAAGAATAGCGAAGCCAAAGCTTATGTACAATTTCAATTGGGGATGCGAGGGTCTTCTTGTTCAAGACGGTTTTCCCGATATATTATTGTTTTGTTATCGCTGGGCTAAATTTTGCGAGCTGATCACGCATCCTCACGCTCTTAGAGTATTGCGTATTAATGGATAAAAATAAATGATACGACTAGGAAGATCAACTAGTATAGAGAGTTAGCTAGCGCTACGTGACGTTTTCAGAGTTCTGGTGGTGTGCAGAGCGCCGAGGCAAGATGTGGACGACTAGACTCCGAATACCAGTCGGTTTGTAAAATTTTATTGGAGAAAAGCCTAGGGCAGGGTGTAAAACGGAAACGCGCCTCCCGCGCCTCCTCTGGGCCGGATGGTCGAGCTGCCATTGCTTGTTTCTCTCCTTCCTCTTACCGTCTTACTTAGTCTTATTCCGATTTAGCGTAGCCTTAGCCTTGTCCTTAGGCTTAGCACTAGCTGAGTCCGAGTCGGCCATCGTCCGTGACCTCGAGCTCCTTTTCCAATCTCGATCTCGTTATCGTATTTCAATCAAAGCTTGTCTGTAGCTGTCTAGCGTTCGATCGGCGCCGGTGATAATCTGATCTGAGCTGTGTGTGTTATACTTTACGTGAAAGCAGCGTATTGGAATTGATCAGCTGTACTGTATTACTAGCGCGCGGTCGGATACCCGCCTGCTAGCTACTAGTACTGTACGTACCACACGTATCGGCACGGCCGGTATTAGATGGGCGCTGACATTTTGCGCACTAAATTTCACATTTCTGTGCGTGAATACGTTCTTTTTCTCTTCTCATCTCATGCATATTCATTCCCCCCTGAACAACTGTCGAATCGATAACCAGGATTTTTGATTGTACCTCTAGGTTCAGTTAATCAAGCTCGTTCCAAAACTATATTATTTGTCCATATTTGTTTTTGCCAAAATATTCTAAATGCGATCTGAAAATGACCTTATTTGTCACTTTACGACACTTAAAATTCAAGGTTTTTTTTAAATTGTCATGGCAATAAAATACAATTTTTTTTAATGATCTCATGTATATATTTTGATTGCTCATCATTTTCTCCTCAAATTGATCATTTGGTTTTACAAGTCTCGTTGGGCAGATTTTAAGCTACGAGTCCTCAAAGATAAGGTAATTTTTTCCAATTTCTCCTAATTTCACACCTTTCACCCGAAATCGTAGTACATTATTGAATATGGAGCAAGATACGAGAATTGATAGTTATCATACAATTTATTATGATATTTCTGATGATTTATTTACCTAGTTTTGCAGATTTATAACGTGAAACAAATACTAAACTGAGTTTGAAAATACAACAAAAGCAGCTGATTTATATATTTAGCGTGTACGCGAACACGTGTAGCCCGCTTCGTTCAGTGTAGTGTAACGCCACCCTACCGTTGTGTGAACAATCCCACATGCAGATAAATGTGTCTTGCGCACATTTGGAAGCATAAACACAAGTTTTAAAAAATATTAAAAATCGCTCGAATTGAATTTTATCATGACATTTTTAGATTATGTTTCTTTAGAATGTTGTTTTTAGATATGCACATGTCACAAGATTTTTTTTCTATTAGATTAAAAGAAAATCAAATATTTCTTGAGCATGGTCAGGGGAAATTTTTTATCGCCTGATGAGTGATGTGTGTTATGTTATTAACTGAAGCTGAGCCAGGTGTAGACCGAAAACTTCAGTCTCTATAATCGTCGGTTGTTCCACTGAGAGTGAGACTACGTCTGGCTCCACTAGACCTATAACCGGAGGTCTAGTGGAGCCAGACGTAGTCTCAGTGGAACAACCGACGATTATAGAGACTGAAGCTTTCGGTCTACACCTGGCTCAGCTTCAGTTAATAACATAACACACATCACTCATCAGGTGATAAAAAATTTCCCCTGACCATGCCAAAGTAATATTTGATTTTCTTTTAATCTAATAGAAAAAAATCTTGTGACATGTGCATATCTAAAAACAACATTCTAAAGAAACATAATCTAAAAATGTCATGATAAAATTCAATTCGAGCGATTTTTAATATTTTTTTAAACTTGTGTTTATGCTTCCAAATGTGCGCAAGACACATTTATCTGCATGTGGGATTGTTCACACAACGGTAGGGTGGCGTTACACTACCCTGACCGAAGCGGGCTACACGTGTTCGCGTACACGCTAAATATATAAATCAGCTGCTTTTGTTGTATTTTCAAACTCAGTTTAGTATTTGTTTCACGTTATAAATCTGCAAAACTAGGTAATTAAATCATCAGAAATATCATAATAAATTGTATGATAACTATCAATTCTCGTATCTTGCTCCATATTCAATAATGTACTACGATTTCGGGTGAAAGGTGTGAAATTAGGAGAAATTGGAAAAAATTACCTTATCTTTGAGGACTCGTAGCTTAAAATCTGCCCAACGAGACTTGTAAAACCAAATGATCAATTTGAGGAGAAAATGATGAGCAATCAAAATATATACATGAGATCATTAAAAAAAATTGTATTTTATTGCCATGACAATTAAAAAAAAACCTTGAATTTTAAGTGTCGTAAAGTGACAAATAAGGTCATTTTCAGATCGCATTTAGAATATTTTGGCAAAAACAAATATGGACAAATAATATAGTTTTGGAACGAGCTTGATTAACTGAACCTAGAGGTACAATCAAAAATCCTGGTTATCGATTCGACAGTTGTTCAGGGGGGAATGAATATGCATGAGATGAGAAGAGAAAAGGAACGTATCCACGCACAGAAATGTGAAATTTAGTGCGCAAAATGTCAGCGCCCTGGTAATGTCGAGACGCGCGTGCATACGGCGAGCCGTGCTGATACGTGACCAACGAACTCAAACACTCGTTGTAAATACGCTGGTTGTTAAATGACATAGAGGGAGCTAAACACGTAAATTCAAAAAATAAACCGTCGAAAGTCAAAAGTGATGTCCGGACGTCAAACACTTTTATATAATGTTTTGAAAGCAAATTGCACAACAATTAGAGCATTTGATTTGGAATTATTATCATCTCCCATGTTTTTTTCGATGATCTTTCATATGGTACTGAAATAAACCAAATCTGTTTTGGAGGGGCACTTTGGAAATTACCAATACTCAAATCTTGCTCACTACCGCCCCTCCCTAAAATAAGATCCTAGCTCCGCGCCTGCATTAAAATATAGCTATGATGCTGACTAAATTTAGGAAATAATTCGTATATTAATGTCGTCGAGGAAAATGACCATTTTGCGCATATGCAAGTACTATAGATAGTCCATAGGAAAAATAATTTAGCCTTCGGCCCCAGGTTTATAGGGTTGACTTTGTAGATATTGGAAATTTAATTTTGTCGGTTATTGGTGGCTACTTTTGTCGGTAATCGTTGGCCTCTACACCCCCCTCTGACAAAGGTCTAGCGACGCCCCTGCCTACTGGGCACTGTCCCTTAAACTTCAGGTGAACGGCACGCCAAGTCCAAAGTATTTTGTTTGTTTGTTTTTTTTTTGGGGGGGGGGGGGAGGGGGGGGGGGTTAATTCCCCCTCCCCTGATTTTTGTATTTGTCTTAGTGACGGTAATTCCTGGCTGGAAGATTTTGGCCTGTGAATGATGAGCCTTCTGGGCCCTGTCCCTTGATGGTTCGATGATGTTATTGAAGGAAATTTCTTTCTGGGAGATAATGGCCTTTGAAGGTGAATGACACGCTCAGTCAGTTTTCTTTGTTTTAATTTTCTACTTATTATTTTTGGGGGTAGGGATTCGCCAAATTTGTTGTAGTTCTTTTTACATTTTCGGTTTCTCTCTTTTGTGTGTATAGTCTTAATAGGTATAACTTTTAACTTTTAACGATTTAGAACCTTCAAGATGGCCATTAGAAGCGACATAAACACGGAAGCTTTGACGTTTCATTAAATCATATGAGAAAGAAGACAATTCGTTGTACTGTTTTCGACTCCTAATCCTTGTCTGAATTCAGCCCCCCCCCCTTCCCACCCGTGCGAAGCTCGGAAGCTTTGACGTTGCATTAAATTATAAGAATAAGAAAAGACGATTCGTTGTACCCACTCTTTATAATCATTGTCTGAATTATAAAAAAATGTTTCTTTGTCCGCTAAAAAGTCACAGTTCATATAGGGAAAAAAAAACTTGCCGCCGACAGACATAATACATCTCATCTACTTCAAACTTCTACATTGATATAGCACACGAGGATCAAGCAAGAATACCGACACTGTGGACCCGGCACCCTCTCTCGTCTGCAAGCACAGACCCTAATTTGACACTGTATCAAAATATCATTGTGCCTTGAGAGAAGCCCAGCTACCTACTGGTTGTGTCAATATAGGTCAGGAGCAGTTATAGGAAATGGCCTATGGTAGTCTTATAGTGCAGACTCACGTTTACGACTGACCAGGGTTTGTGCTTGCAGACTACCCTCTCTCTCTCTCTCTCTCTCTCTCTCCTCTCTTTCACCCCCGTTTCTTTTGTTTCCTTTTTCTCTTCTTTTCTCCTTTTCTCCTTTTCTTTTTAAATTTTCTTTCCCTTTCTCGCCCATTTTCCCCCTCCCCCTTTTCCCGACAGCAGCGCAATTTTACCCATCAATATCCTTTAGCGACGCCCCTGGTTGTTATCCCATTATTCTTTTAAAAGAAATGCAACTCCTCACGCTCTCGCACCTCTCTTCTATCGTTGTTTAATTCTCTTTCATTTTTTTTTCTTTCTCCTTTAACTCACAAAAATTCTCTTTCCCCCTCTTTTCCATCTCTTTTTATTTTGTTCTTCTTGTGCTTTTTTTTTGGGGGGGGGGGGGGGGGGGGGGGCTACACGGGGGGCTACTGGCAAGAGGGACCCCATTTCAAGCACACTGCAAAATGGCATGCTCCGCCCCTTTCACGGTAAAAAAAAAACGCCTTCCTATAATATCATCCCCCTTTCTTTCTTTTCCCTTCTTATTATTCTCCTTCCCCCCCCCCCCCCCCCCCAATTTTCTCTCCTCCGTCATTGCCCATTGCTTCCTTTTCCGCCTTTTCTCTCCTCTCACTTCCCCTTTTCCCTCCTTTTCTCCTCTCACCTTTTCTCTCCCTCTTTTTTTCTTCTTTCTCTCTTCCCTTTTCTTTCCCCCTTTTTTCCCGGGGAGGGGGCACGTGCCCCCTGTGCCCTACACCCTGATTCCGCCACTGGAACTACACAAACATCTGGCATGAAAATCGGGCCTCATTTTTTTTTTCAGGGACATTTGTTTTCGGATGCTCTTCCACCCTTGCATGATAACAATGATAACGCTCACACATTTTTGTTTCACTTCTCCCCAGAACTCAACCTTCTCTTTAAATCTCCTGCGGTAAGACAATAACAAGCACAATTTAAGACCAATGAAAGACGTTTTCATAGTGATATAAGCACTCTGTATTTATTCAATCAATGCTGGCTATATGCCCAAAAGAAGGACACGTAAAATATATATATACATGTACATATACGAGACACTACGTGTATGGCTTTCAAAATAATATAGTAAACAATGAGATGTAATATACTGTATAATAATGTGTACGTTTCATTATAACATAGTTTGTTAAAATACCATATTGCCCATAAGTGAATAAACGACTCATTACATAGGTATAAATACATGGAATACCCATGTAAACAAAAATATTTGAAAAAAACCTAAAAACAGTAAGTGATTCATCCACATATTTGGGGCAAAATTTTAAAAAATTGACCACATAAATAGACTGTTAGAATTGAGCATTGACATCGCCCAGCACGTCATGCAAAAATAATTGTACAGGTTGTATTACACCCTTTATGAGAAAATTCATTATGTGTCAAGTGGTTGAATAGAACTTCATCCCAAACATAAACACACGAGTAGAAATAAAATCGAAAGATGTACAATTGAACTTCAAAATATATTCTTCAAAAATGATTTTAAAAGTATATACATGTAATTCTAAGGATATTAAGTACAATAATTGTTGGGGGAGGTAGGGACGTATGTTTATAATGATTTGTGGAGGTGTAGTGATCTTGTGGATAAGGCATCAGACTGTTGATCACATGGTTTGTGATTAAAGTCCTATAACGTCTTTTGGCAAGACATTTGCCACAATCCACCCATGTGGTGGTAAAAGGGTACCTGGCAGAAATTAATTCCTTGAAATGCTAGAACGCCATAATGGCATCCATGCCAAAGCCGGGATAATAACTGTTGAGCGCCAGTAGTGTTAAGTCTGACAGACATGAGTGCTATACAAGAACCCACTATTAATATGGATATACAGTGTACAAGCATAATTTAAAACAGATATTCCTGAAACAGGGCCAAGGTTACACTTTAAGACAAGTCTATTAATCAATAAGAAACTTCTACTACCAGTAATTTCATTGAATGCCAGGAGATAAAATCTCATACATATAAATGTATTTTTGTGCAGTCATTGGAATTTCTACATTAATTCTACCCGAGTTGAAAGCAAAAGTAATACTGATACATATTACATAACAAAAGCAAACATACATGTACAAACATATATGCAATGTAAACATATATCCAATACACGAAGATCATACCAAGTGGAAGACTTCAACACCTTTTTTTTGGCACTCTACAAAAATGCCCCCAAAGCAGGGCTTCACACTAACTTATTTCCTATAGGGGGTCCGACTTGAACCATTTACAGTCTGTGTACATGAGTTCTTCTGTAAAGACTCCAAAATTTGAGGGTTCAGGACTTTATTTTGGCCCCTGTGTGCCCAAGGTGCCCGCCATTGTCCACCCCTGAACAAATACTATGTTATTATTTTCCGGTTTAATTAGGTAATACATTTCTATGTATTATGTAACGGGGCAAGTCAACGTTGTTTTGTGCCATGGATACATAACAAACTTAACTGAACTTGGAATGTATTATCCAATAATGAACGCTTAACAATAGGTATAAACAGGAACCAGAAAATAGCATGAATGCTAAACGAGCCTGGTACCTTCGAACATGAAAAACACTGCTTGGGTACATACCGGAACATTTAGAACAAACAAATTTGAAATGTTTCATGTAGTAAAGCTAATTAAAAACACAACTATAATACAATTGTATAAATGGATGAAAAGTCAAATATAAAAATACCTAGAATTTTATAAGTACATTTTATTCAAAAGGTACTCTATCAGTGCTTTCTTGAAGCAAGATCTGGATGTCTTTGTAAAGTGGAAAATCATTCCATAAAGAACTGCCTACATATGAAACTGAAAAGTTTCCTTTGGTTATTCTGACCTTGGGTATATTCAAGTTTTTTTTCCTTTTGCCTTTTTTGATACTTGTGCGGAATGAAAGAGTAATATTAAATGATTGGTTGAGGCAAACTACATTACAATAAAGATTTGAATATATTATTTAAGATTATATCAATTTTATATCAATTTTGATAGCACTGCAACAGCTTGGCTCAAACATTAAACAATGTAATTCAAAATTTACACTCTGGATATTAATCATATTCATTATTCTACAATATACTCAGTAACCTATGTGAAATAAAATCGAGTAAATAATTGAATTTATTTAATATATTTATTTGACCTATGTGTACGTTCAACATGGCTATTTGGTTTCGCTCACATGTAAAATAAAGGCTAAAACATAGTTTACAAACAACATAAATAGGATACAAAATGATATATTTTGTTGAAGACAAAAGATAAACATACACAATATTGATTTTCATTTGGTTTGGTTATGGTTTGTTTTATTTCCTTAAATTTCATAATTTGCTGTCTTCATGTATATATTCAAAAATGATAATTATTTATCAGTATTCACAAAGGAAATTCAGATCTTAAACTGAGTTGAAGTATACATGACCAAACTCCTCCAATTTTCCCTTTTAGTGGTCTATTGTAGTGAGGATAACTTAAATCAATGTTTTCTCCATCTTACCAGGAAGTTACGCTTTATACCCGCTCACAAATCATTAACTTTGTCTCTAAGCGCCCCAATTCCACACAAAACAAATCATAAACTTATTACCCTTCCCTAATAAAGATAAAATTGCTAAATAATGTTTATAAATTCCCTAAGCAACAATGGCCCCAATTCCACACAAAATTAACGTATCCCAATAAAAATAAATAAAATTGCCAATTAAAACTATTAAATTCCCTAAGCAACAATGGGTGACTTGGCTATATGGAACTTGACCGAGCAATAAATAATAGCGCTGCTATAATTTTTTTCAGTGGCGTATCCAGAAAGAGAATGGCTCTCTTGGTAGCCTTGCTTGCTGTAGACTGGTTACATTTTGTTTCTGCCTTCATTCAGTTAGTGCTCTTTAAAGCATTCCAGAGCTAAATCATTCACCAATTGAAGGTATAATTATTCAATATATACTTTTAATGATAAAGATAAAATCAATTTGATAATGATCAAATCAACTGTATAAATATATACTTTACTGAGCTGCTACTACCTGTATAAAAATATACTGGTACTCTTATCAGGAAGTTACGCTTATCCACTCCCAAATCCAACCCTCACCCTTCACTTTGGAATGATTTTCATATTAATTGATATTACTATTCCATGCTTTAACTCCTCTTTGTCAATGAATGACCTTCTGATGACTTTCTGATGACTTTCAGAAATGAACCTTCCCTGCCAGGGACAAACCGATAGCAAACCGAGTGAATAACCTACTGATGACCTTCAGAAAATGAACTTCCCTGCCAGAGAAAACCAGATAGCAAACCGAGTGAATAAACACTATGATGACCTTCAGAAAATGATACCTTCCCTGCCAGGGATAAACCAATAGCAAACCAAGTGAATAACCTTCTGATGACCTTCAGAAAATGAACCTTCCCTGCCAGGGACAAACAGATAGCAAAACCGAGTGCATAACCTTCTGATTACCTTCAGAAAATGAACGTTCCCTGTCAGGGACGAACTGATCGATAGCAAAACCGAGTGAATAACCACTATGATGATTTATTTTTCTCTTCCTACAGTAGATTAAATAACTTTCTTTATTATCATTTTTGTAAGGTGCAAATATAGACTTTCCATCATGCCTTGCTCAAGGACATAAGTGCCGTGCCGGGGCTCGAACCCATGACCTTTGTATTCCAAGTCAAGTGACTAAACCACTCAACTACAACACCTCTACTAGACATGCACTTCAACAGTCTCTGACGGTGAATGGTATTAGCTTTTTAATCAACAAATAAAATAATACATTTACAGTAAGCTAAATATCCACAATTACCATCTCTGCACAATATCAAATATACCAGAAATAGACATAGAAAATGCTTTGTTAAGATCAATAATGATGGAGCATTGATAACTACCTACATGTAGGCTTATCTTATGTACATTGTCATTAGATAGCTAGAAAAATGCCAACCCACTTACATATATATAGAGGGCAAGCAAGATATTGGCAAGTTTGAAAAGCAATGTGTTAAAATGAGGCTAAGCATTCAAATACAGTCAGCACAAAGAAATAAGGTCCCCAGTTTGAATGTAAGTAAACATGTGTGTGTGTGTACAGTATGTGTACTTGTGCGTGCACATCAATTCACAATGCAAATTGGTGAACAATTCACATCTTGATATCATTACTGTTGATTGATTTACCTGACTGCTAAAAAAGTGTGTAATATGCTTGTAAGTATGCAGCCGAAGAAGGACAGTTCTCCAATGGACTTGGTAATGAGGATTGATTGATTGATTTTTTTTTTCCCCGCCAAGCTTCCAACATACAATAATCAATAATAACAGGTTAAAATTAAGTCAGCTTGAAAAGGAGAACCCACAAAAGCTTGAGAGCTTATTTCCAGTGGGGTCCTAATGCCTTACGAAAGGGCACTGTAGTTTCAAACCTGGGAGCTCCCGGGTACAAAACCATTGTTCTACCGCTGATCCATCGGGCCCCCTCCAAAACCTTGAGATTATTTCCGAGGTATTTAACAGTCAAAGCCTCTAGCAAACCCTAGGACATTCACATAATACTGTTTGTATCTCGAGAAAAAAATGGATGCAAAAGTACACAAGCCTTACCCTTACATGTAGAATTGCTTATCAAAGTAACACGCCCTAACAAACTATACTTAACAACTATATCACTCATACCCTTACAAAGTTTGGTATTTTTGTTAAGTACACATGTACGTGGAGAATAACTTTGGCCGGTTTATCTTTCTTTAGAGAGTGATATACAGTGTACATGAAAGCTTAAATCTTTAAGTATTCCACAAAAACCCTAGACAACCAGTCCACCTTTCATTCTTGATTTGCGGGGAAAAAAATATCAAATTTACAAAGGGTATGAATAATTTACTTGTTAACTGTGCTAGATATTGCTCATTTTATAATAGATGTTCAACTTGATATAAAATTGCTGTGGTGCGTAGATGTTGTATTACTCTTTAGGTGCCAAAACATGGGTGGGTGGGTCGGAAATCTTTTTTTTTCTCTCTTTTTTTGTTTACTCCCTTTTTGGGCTAATATTTCTCAGTTACTTGTATGACATTTTTGTCTCTAAAAAACTGTAATTTTTTTTTTTTTTAATAAGCCGACCTTAAATTTCAAGATTTTGGGATCGGCCGCAAAGGGCAATACAACATTTTTTTTTTTAGGCCTTAGATAGCAATGATTTCAGTGCAAAGAACATCTTGTCATTTATGTACATGTATAAAGTGTACATTCAAACCTGTCTACAGAGGCCACTTTTTCTGTTTCCCTTGAGTGGCCTTAATACACAGGTACTGTATGACTTGATATATACTGTACACTACTGAAAATCAGCTTGGAGATTTCCAGCAGTTCTCAACATCCCTGCATGTAGATCGTATGTAAAAGCCAGAGGTATTCTGAAAACGAAGTTATCTTATAAATATGTTGGTACTGTGTACAACGATAAATTATCAAATTAGGACAATTCATTAGTTAATTTCTGCACAAAGCTGGTTGCATTGCGTAAATTTTAAGGAGACATCGGCACAAGCACCAATGGTAATTACATGTAAGTGTTGGTTCAGCATATTTTTAGTTTGTCATTGCAATTACATCACTTTTCCTAAAAATAAAAACATATACCCAGGGTATTTTCATGGGTAATTGTTGATTTTATAAGTTCCTTGTACAAGGAAGTAAACATATAATAATTCCACATCTTTGAAACAATAGTGTCTTTTTCCAATTTCTATCCATTTAGAAAGTGTTATAAAATTTGGCAAAGCAGTATTCAACAAAATTTGATTTATAACATCTAAATCTCATTCGACCTTTTTAAAATAGAGATATACCCAATTTCATTTGTTTTCTTCACATGTTTTTCCAATGTAAAGAAAATGCTTGATATGATCTACTTGCAGGTATATTGCACTACACAGCAGACTTCCAATGCAGCAATATTTTTGTTATAATCTAAAAATAGCTATGCTTGATCAATGTATATTCTAACATAACAATAAACTGCAGTGTCTCGGAGACCAACTCATTTCTCTTTCTTCTCAATGCTATGTCCGTGGCTCACAACAGACAATGCTATGCCAAGCTGAGCTGTGTAGTACGTCGTCATGACGATGGACTGAGATGATGGGATGGCGCTGCGGAACATATTGGTTGCTAAGACAACGTCAGAGATGCAGAAGAGGATGGCGCCGACACCAGCGGCGACCTTTGTCCACGTCCAGAGGTTCTCCCCGAACTGGACCCTGGCTAGCGCCCTCCACGCCATCATAATGATCAGGATGATGTACAAGGCGCCAAGGAATGTAAGTTCGTAAGCGGCGAAACCCGGGTACATGAACCCGTAGACGACACCGCCCACGAGCATCAGGGGGATGAGGAGGGACGGTTTGAAGGGGTTCGCGCCAAAAGCGTAGATGTACATGATGTGAGCGAGCGCGAAGAAGAGGAGTCCTTCGATGAAGTATTGGTTGACGTAAACGAGGCAGCCATCACCGATACAGGATAAGACGAGGCCGGTGAGAATAGCTAGATGGTAGCGAGGAAAGACGGACAAACCTTGCTTGCAGAAGAGATAGATCTCATGGATGACGAAGCCGCACAGACAGACGATGGGAAGGCACTTGCAGGCAACAGCCCACAGTGAGGCCTCTGGTCGTAGCAGAAAGTAAAGAATCGTCCCATTGATGAAGGGAAGGAGTCTCGGACAAACTGCTTTGGCCTGCAGGGAGTTAATAAAAAGAATAAGAAAATGATTTCAAATTTTGTCACTGACTTCATTCATTAGTCTAACAAGTTAGGGGTCTATATGAAATATCACATTGCTATTTCATGCTAGCTAACATTCTATCCCTCTTCCCATTTGCATTTGTCTCAAAATCTCTTTTAGACTCTAGATCTACAGGTATATAGATCATGATAGATCTAGAGCCTCAAATCTCCAATTAAAATTTTAAAAGATAAACATGGCATGGTTGAACATGTTGAAATAAAAACTGGAAAAATAATAATAAAAAACTTCTCCTGCTGAGCTGAGTATCGTCACTAACTAAACTAGAGTCTAGATCTAGACTAGATCTGGACTAGACTCTAGACAGTCTTATAGAATTGCATTTTGTGGCAAATACTTACAACATCAACCTTGAACATTCTGACCACGTGCATGGTGATCTGATGATGATGGTTCCCAATTCCAATTCAGAATCCAAATAATCTTAAAATTGTAAAGCAGATTAACGGGCGGCCACACACAGTCACAACGAATTACGCCGGTACAATATCCGGCGAGCGCGAGCGGTATCGGAAGCCTAAGTGTACCGCACCGTACAAAAATCGGGTACTGAACTTGAAGTTTAGGTTGAGCAAAAACAATTTCGAAACATGTCGCGTAGATCTATGAACACTTTGTAGTTTGTTCAATAATGATATTGATAGAATCTTTCCGTTTCTTTTTCTGCTCGCGATCCTGTCGATCTACCACTGTTTACAATGACGTAGTATGCAAATCAAGCCGGTAACGTATAACGTGGATAACACTTTCGCAATTTTTATCCTTTGTTTCCTTTTCGTGCGAACAATCGAATTCTCTTTTGTGCCGCGCGCGCAGTACAATTGTGTAAAAAATGCAATGTTTACGTTTTTCTCCGAACAACATGACGTTCGCACGGTTAGGCACGTGACTACTGTTCAGGTGACCGAGAAAAGTTTGTTGACATTTAGAGTTGCTACCAGACTAAGCAATTTATTTTTTCCCTTCACAATGTTACTAATTCTTATGTCATACACAATAATTTTAGAAAAAATGTCGTTAAGTCTATATCTAAGATAAATGAACGCACATTTACATTATAAACAGATTTAAATGCGTTTCCTATTTTGATAATAGCATCATTCAGTGTATGAATATTTTGATTATTTTCCTGGAGAAAAGGAAAGAAAAACAATAAAAAGTGCGTCATCGCTTAAAATTGATTTGCGAAGTATTTCGACCTTCGCTAGTCGCCGGACGGACGATGAGGCCGGGGTGTTCATCAAACATCTTTTTTATCTAGACTTCCGTAATGTTGGTTATTAGCAAATAACTAACTTTAAATACTTTGCACAGATAAGCAGGAATTATTGGTTTACTTATGTACATTAGATTATTCGTGTCAATTAACAAGTATGCTCAAAATGAGTCATTATACTTTTATCAAGAGTTGTGTCATCCTATTCGAGATAACAATTCTATTTTGGAAATAAAAGGATTTCAATATTTACTTAATTTGTGAAGTATCTATTCAATTCAATTCAAGTTTATTTCCACAGTCTGATAAAAATACAAAACAATCAAAAGACAAACAAGAATACACCATAAATATTACATAAACAGATAAAGATGGGGTCGACAATAGGCCTACGTGGTCCATGAAAGTCAACTTTAACAAAAACATGAACTAAGTAACTCAGGGGCGGATCCAGGAATTTCTTCCGGGGGAGGGGGGTGGGTTAAGAGGACATAATGTTGTTGGTCCCCAAAAATCGCAACGACTCAGCCAGCCGCTGAATAAACGGGGGAGAGGGGGGGGGGGGGGGGGGGGGGGGAGGTTGGGGGAGGGTGGTAAGAGCACCTTTTTTTTTTTTTGGTGCCGAATATTTAAAAAGTTTAATAAAAATAAATGTAATTACAAAGTTTATTAATAGCCAACAACCCTTTACTGCCCCCCCCCAAAAAAAACCCCCTCTCTTTCTCTCGATCCGTCCCTCCCCCTCACCTCTTTCTATTTTACTCTTACTCTCTCACCCTAGTTTTCTGATCTAGCTCCCCCTAGTTTCCTCTCTTTCTACCCCACCCCTCCCCTCTCTCTCCTATGGTTTGTTTTTCTTCTTCTGTCTTTCACCTTTTGTTCATCCCCTCCCCCTGCCTCCCTCTTTTTTGTTGGTTCTTACGTCCCTACCCCCCCCCCCCCTCCATGCTCTTTCTCTCTCACTTTCACATTCTCCCAGCCTCCCACATCAATTGCTCTCTCTCCTTTCTAATCCACACAAATCTCTTTTACTCCTTCGCATCAACATCTCTACACTACATAAATCTGACATAGAAATGCAAATCATCTTATGAAGACTGTTCTATATTTTGATGCATATACAAAACATATGAGATGACTAAATTCTTACAATGTCTTAATAATTCAGGCAAAACTAAATATTACAGTTCCTCTGTTGTTTCACAACAATAAAGCATCATATGATCCAAAAACTAAGATTACAATGATTGATAATCGCATTACCAGTACTTATTTGCAAGCTGTTTACAGCATAAACTGAAAAGTATGTACAATTCATTAGGGAATACATAAAATAACATAATTATGCTAGTTTAAAATTATATTTTTTCAGCATTCCATGATCTTGAAAGAAGACAAAGAGGGAGATAATATGCATCAGTCTATGAGTAGCATATATAACTCATTGCTTCTTAACCCATCGACTCCTGCTACCGAGTGGCTCCTGTATTAAGCCTATGGGAATTAAACAATTCAGGAGTCAACAGGTTAAACACAAACATTTCTATCGATATCCAATTCTTCAATTCAAAATATTTCCAACATCTATGTAAAGAAATATCCACCCATGTTATGAGTTAATTTTCCTTTTTTAGAAAGCAACACATATAAGGGCATCAGCGAACAAAGAAAAACCGACAAGATCTGCTGCAACAATTATGTCGTCAAAGAAAGACTAGTCTGCAGCGCTCTAATGTTGTCCGTCAAAACAAAAGGCTTGCTAATGACGTTCTTAATTATAAGAAGAAAGACAAGCTTGTCTATGTCCAACTGCAATAATAAAAAATAAAAAAATCTGTACATTTGGCACCAAAATAAACATTTGCAGACAGCAACATGTAAATGTGGTATCTATAAATCATTTGATTGATACACGTCTGTAAAAACCCAATTACACACACACACCCATTTCTAAGGGAGAGTTCAAGTGTGTATTAACTACTTACTCATGTGTCCCTTTTACATGTAATCAGAGGAGTTTGCAGGCACAAACCCTTGCCACTTGCAATGCATAACGCAATCAATAGGCCCTATACTGTAGCCAGAGTTTAACAGAGCTAGGCTTTGCTCAAGGCTTTAGCAATTATGGTAAATCAGAGTCTATGTATGCAGACTATATTGAGAGTGTATTGAAACTGGCAATATCTCATTATAGAAGTAATAATCAAAACTCTTATATTGAATATAGTATAGTTACACAGAACCCCTAACATACAGCACAAATGAGTGTGAGGTCATTATTCCCCTTTAATTCAATTTATAACCCTAAATGGTCATTGATGGTTCCTATGAGGTCATTCTTTCTCCCCGCAGTTGAAAGTCCATTCGTTTGACAGAACTCCTTCAGGACGGCTACGGTCAACTTGGAAAGCTGTCATGAAACAAAAGAAAGAATTAGAATAAATTAGTCATTACACCTAGCATTTGCATAGAGTTCAAATTAAATTTGCAGAGTCTGATGCTCAGCCAATGCCTAGCTGAAATAAAGCAGGAAAGCACATCTCATTTCCATTAATTTAAGTCCACAATATTGCCCATATTTGAAGAACACTTCTTTGCTAATGTAAGAAAAAATTCCTTTTCAAATAAAAGAAACAGGAACATTGTCAAATCACAGAGGGCTGCGAAAATTCCATGAGATTATTGCTCTGGAAGAGACATGAGGGACCCACTTAACAAAGCATTTTTTCAATGACAAACAACAAATATCTGTGAAAAATCTGCTGATAACCAATCAATAGCAAGAAATGCACTAGCTTATAACAAAAACTGTAATTTGTTACTGATGACAAATTTTGTGAAATGGAGCCCTGTAAATCATCTTGACTGTGGAAGTCTGAATTAATGGGCTTTCATAGATCTAAATTCTATGAATCGCAATATAAATTGAGCCATTTCTTTGCAAGGATAATAGAAAAATTTGTAAATTTTATTTATCACAATTCAGTTGGAGAATTCCCTTTTTACCTGTTCTTTTCGGGCTTGTTCAGCAACATCAATGGTACCACCAGCAGCCTAGAGAGAGAGAGAGAGAGAGAGAGAGAGAGATTGCAGTTTTTATTATAATAGATTTGGCTTCATTTGAGCCTGGGAGGGGAAAAGCAAAGAGAGTCACTGTAACCCTCGTTTGACTCAGGACCTGTAATAATGTGCTATCAGTATTTTAAATATTTTGAGTAATGCCCTTAGGGAGGAAATGCTTAGGAGAAAAACATAAATTAATGGTATTTCTGTACACGACAAATGTGCATTACGCTAGTCAAAATACACTGAACAAATTGCCAATTTGAGAAACGCTCATTCTTTTTTCTTTTAATCAATAATGATATTACATGATCTCATTTTTTAGAAATAAATAATGGTTACTTTCTTGTTATTGGTCTGATTTACATCAAACTTTCGCCTTTTTACTTCTATTTATTTTTCTGCTTTTGTACAAATGAACACATTACCAAGGAAGGATCTCTCTTTGATCTAAAAGAAGATCTGACAGATAAGTGTGAGAAGAGAAGACCTGTACCTTCTTTCTAGCAGCAGGTTTGGCCGTGGGGTCGTACCCCTCGGGGAAGACTGACTCCATGAACTCTCTGATGCCAGGCCCCGCCCTCCTCTCAATCATCTCTTTGTTGGGTTCTGATTGGTCAACAGATAACGAACAATTTGAGTACCGGTAGAACATAGCTTTATCAATACAATAATTACAATTAATAATACTCAGTTCTTGTATAGCGCATATCACATTATATAACGTTCCTATGCGTTTTCAAAGAGCATTGGAAATCATATCCTAACTTTAGCTCCAGCAGTGAGTGAGTTTCAAATCCAAGGGGAAACACAAAGAAATCTTACCATTTTCAGCAATGCTTGACACCAGAATATTGCACTTATTCAGACTCTTATTTTTTATCTTTTTTTTCCTTGTGAGCATCAGAATAGAAGTTATGGATAGATGGAGCAGTACAAATGCCTTTTATTATCATCATTATTATTATCATCACTTTCATCCACAGACCCTGTCTTACCGGTATGGTCGACCATATCATCTGTGGTGTCCCTATCGAGCGCTAGGGCCTCCAGGGTCCTGTAGTGCGTCTGGAGGACTGGATTCTCAAAGTTCTCCGAGGAGAACTGGAACTGTAACTTCTTGACAACGTTCTTGGCCTTGTCGATCTGGTCCGGTGTAGCTAATAGATTCAAAGAAATTCACAGAGATTCACAATACAACTGGAGACCCCATGCAATGTATGCACATTCACCACTCCCTGGGGAGCATTCCTAAAGACATAGGTCAAAATATATTACACAATCTACATGTATGTATTATTAACGACGTTCATGGCCTTATCGATCTGGTCAGGTGTAGCTAAGAGATTCAAAGAGATTCCCAAAACAATTAGAGACCTCACACAATTTTTGCACATTCGCCACTCCCTGGGAGCATTTGTAGAGACATGGGTTTAAATACATTACACAATTTATGTAATGTATTATATAAACATAGTAGCTTGATTTTGTTCTTTTTTCTTTTAATCAATAATGATATTACATGATTTTACATGTTGTAAAGTATTGTGCAATTAGTTGCTGGACTACTACTTTGGAATTTTCAAAAACAATATTGAACTGAACTGAATATCAACACTATAAGTACAGTTCATCTTCAACATTATTATAGACAATATCATCCACAGACCCTGTCTTACTGGTATGGTCGACCATATCATTGTGGCAAAAATTATCCAACGACGATGGAAAACATCATAAAATCCATGAAAAACAACAACAACAGAGGAGGGGCTTTTTTCAATCAATATTCCCCATCCCTCGTCCTTCTAAACAATCCCGACAAGTAAACTTACCCCAAGGGTGAGTGGGATGTTCCAGTTTTCTCATAAACCATACTGAATTGAATTGAATATGAACACTATAAGAACAATTCATCTTCAAAAGAGGAGGGGTGTTTTCAATTAATATTCCCCATCCCTCGTCCCTCTCAACAAGTAAACTTACCCCTCGGGTGAGTGGGATGTTCCAGTTTCCTCATGTCATCGGAGAAAGGCAAGAAGATGAGATGGAATCCTGGAGGAGTGATCTGAACGGAATGCTCATCAAGTTCCTCTTTCTGTGGTAGACACAACAAATTGAAACCAACATTGTGATAATATACAAATAATACACAGCGGTGAGGGCATTAGTAAGAATTACCCACACAAGGTACCTTTGGAACAGTCGAACATGCCCGGGCCGGTATCCGAGGGTGTTTGCACTATTTTGAAAGTATCGAGTGTGGGTAATTTTACTAATGCCCGAACAAAATGATGTGTATTATTTGTTTTATAAGATTATGTTTTATATGTTTTATAAAATGATGTTTTTCAACTAGATTTTACGAATGACCGGTCATTATCCAAATTACGCGTTAGGCAAAATAAATGCCTGGTCACGTACGGTGTACGCTTTCAACCAATCATTTGATAAGGATCCACGTCATCATCTTATAAACTATTCTAGCCTACTACTCTTACCTGGGGCAAGAGGGCGACAAACTTTGGGGGTGAATTCTTGCGTGGAATGTAACGGCAGATAGCGACCTTGTCCCGGGCCGAGCATCGCTGCAGGAGCGCATTGAAGAGAGTATTGCTACCCGAAACAGAGGTCTCGTCTGGGAATAGGAACTGGGCTGGCTTGACATGGAAATACTTCTTGAGGGCCGACCTGGGCTTGAAACCCATCAGGGTTAGGCCTATGATTGAAGGAAGAACACAGATAAGATCTTGCATCTTGAATATTAAACATCAACTTATGATAGACCTGTCTTCATCAGCTCGAGTTTGCCAAATAACCCATTATTTTACCTATCCCGATCGCAAATGAGCCAGTTAATTTGCGTCTTCATCAGCCTGCAGTTGCAATTAGCGGGATATTTGGTTGAGAAAATATCACGATAAATCTTGGTCTTGTTTACAAAAAATCCCGCTATTTGGGATATAGCTGGCTTATTTGCGCCCGTCTGAGCTAGTTTGTGATGAATGTATCGGTCTGGTGAAGACGCAATTTCGAGCTTCGGGATAATATCCCTAGTCTGAAAATAGTAGGTAACGGTATTTGGCAAACTCGAGCTGATGAAAACAGGGCTGATGAGACCCATTCATAGTTATAGTACAAATGACCCTGAATATCTACAGATCTTTTGCACATGGAGTAGTCCTAGTTTGTGCATCTGGAAAAAATACTGCCAGGCAGATTTGGTGTCCGATATACCCCTACCACAATGTACGATGTAATGCGAAACTGCATGAAATGGAAAAACAAAATGGCGACTTCGGATGGATGTTCGCGGCAGCTCCGTTAGACTGTCCCTTCCATTACCTTTGCAATGCATTCGCACGAACTTAGATCAAGATCTATCGGCAAATGTTGTGTTAGGACGTTTATTTTCATTTTCATGTCAACAATGCAAGATAAAATTGTCGGTAAGATGTTTGGAAATGTCCTGTACCATAGTGGTATTGTTTTTTACCGTTTCTAGTCCCATACGTGCAAATTCGTGTTGGTTTTGACTTTTTTTTTTTTTTTTTTTTTACTCTTTCGTTGTAAAGGCCGCACCCCGACTTTTTGATGTTTTCTCTTCCCAAAATACTGCAGCCTTTACGCCGGCAAATACGGAAGTGATTACATAACTTTCAAGAGCAGGTATTCTGTATTCACCTAGGTGGGTTTTTACCATTTTGGTAGAAATGACCTTGATCTGCCCATGTGCAGATCATAGGACGAAATGGTTTATTGTAAAATATAATGCAAAATGGAAGAATGCTTCTCTAATAAATGCCCAGTCTTCGGAAATTATATCTAAGTTAACTAGCCTACTCAACAAGAAGTTTAACTGTTAATTGAATATTTTGAATACAGTATAGCCACAAGGAACCCCTTCCACCAAGAGCAAAATACAGTCAATCACCCAAGGGAAACACACAAAGTGGCCTGTGTAGATGGGTGGTCTTTGTAGACAGGTTCCTTTAGTACATGTTTCAATGAGAAACTGTTTTCAAGGGAAACAACAAATGTGGTCTTTGTAGACAGGTGGTTTTTGTAGACAGGTTCCTTTAGTACATGTTTCAATGAGAAACCATTTTCAAGGGAAACACAAAAAGTGGTCTGTGTAGACAGGTGGTCTTTGCAGACAGGTTCCTTTAGTACATGTCAATGAGAAACCATTCTCAAGGGAAACACAAAAAGTGGTCTTTGTCGACAGCTTCCTTTAGTACATGTTTCAATGAGGAACCATTTTCAAGGGAAACAAAAAAATGTGGTCTTTGAAGACAGGTGGTCTCTGTAGACAGGTTCCTTTAGTACATGTTTCAATGAGAAACTGTTTTCAAGGGAAACAACAAATGTGGTCTTTGTAGACAGGTGGTTTTTGTAGACAGGTTCCTTTAGTACATGTTTCAATGAGAAACCATTTTCAAGGGAAACACAAAAAGTGGTCTGTGTAGACAGGTGGTCTTTGCAGACAGGTTCCTTTAGTACATGTCAATGAGAAACCATTCTCAAGGGAAACACAAAAAGTGGTCTTTGTCGACAGCTTCCTTTAGTACATGTTTCAATGAGGAACCATTTTCAAGGGAAACAAAAAAATGTGGTCTTTGAAGACAGGTGGTCTCTGTAGACAGGTTCCTATAGTACGTTTTAATAAGAAACCATTTTCAAGGGAAACAAAAGTGTGGTCTTTGTAGACTGGTTCCTTTAGTACATATTTCAATGAGAAACCATTTTCAAGGGAAACAAAAAATGTGGCCTTTGTAGACAGGTTCCTTTAGTACATGTTTCAATGAGAAACCATTTTCAAGGGAAACAAAATATGTGGTCTTTGTAGACAGGTGGTCACTGAAGTAGGTTTGAATGTATATTCTTAACAATAATAATAATAGCTAGTTCTTATATAGCGCTTTTCAGGACCGATTGCCATTTTTTACAAGCGCACACTTGCTAATCTAAGCACATTAACTTTCGCACCCTACCAGATACCCATTTAACACCTGGGTGGAGGGTGGCAAATGTAGATCAATGTCTTGCCAAAGGACATTAGTGCTGCAGCGGGACTTGAACCGCGGACCTTGTGATTCACAGTCCGGTGACATATCCACTCGACCACGACACCTCTACTTGTTTGTGATTGGTACACAGTAAATGAAAATGTTACGAACCTGGATCATAAAACTTCTTGACTTCATCCACCTCATCCTTCTCAAAGATGATGTTCTTTCCACCGTACGTCTGGTATTTCTTGATGTCTGAAGGCATCAGAAGCTCTCCCGTATCCTGAAATATTAATATCAAAGAAAGTCACTTAAAGATACAGTTGAGTTCTGGTCATGCGGTTGCATTGTGAAAGAAACGGTGTGGAATTGATCAGAAAAAGTTGATCATGTAGCATATAATTATTGGTGTGTACTGCAAGGTTCAGGAGGAGTGAGATTGTAAAGTGATTTTCAAGCGTAATATTGCATCCTCATACCTAGAATCACTTAACAATCTCACTCCACTATTTAAGTCTTTACTCAGAGCCACAAATACGTGTGGGTTCCTAATGTAACAGGGACACCAAAAATGTCACAAAGTGGGTCACTAATTTATGGAGTTACCCATATATATATAATAACGAAGGTATTATTTCTATTAATAAATTATTCTGGATTTAAAGTATTATCCTAACTATCTGTCAAAAAAGTGCAAAGAGACCACCATCATTAACAGCGCTGATCTGGGATGGCGGCCTCAAACAAAAATCATAGTTCAAAATTTAAAATCCAATTCAAATTCAATTCAAATTCAAATTTAAAAAAAAAAAAAAAAAAAAAAAAAAAAAAAATCAAAATTCACATTCAATTTAAATTCAAATTCAAAATTTAATTCAATTAACCAAACCAATAAGTATTCTGCTTTTCTCACCTCACAGTACATCTTAGATTTATTCTTGAGAGCCTCATTGGTCTGTCGATGTAACTTCACAGGATAGGGTTTAGCCTGCTGCCTTACAAGGGTGTACCTTCAAACACACAAAAAATAGTACTGGTTATTGCATTATTTGGCATCACCTACTCTTTATTGGAACAGCGTGCAAAGGTGGTGACTCTACTCTAGACGGGCCTCCGTTTAACGTTCTCTCCAAGGGACAGATTTTAACATAGCCTGCGTTTATGAAACATCAGCATCATCATCATCACCACAATCACCATAATCATTACTATTGTTACTCCAACTTACACGCCCACGCCTAGTTCCAGTCCCTTTCCGAGGGAGAAGGGAATCCTCCCCGTGGTCCTCTTCTTGTGGTCTTTTGCTCGTACCCTCGCCAGAAGCTGCTCAAACTTCTCAGAAGCATCGGGAATTAAACCCTCCTCATCCTCGCTTCCATGGACAATGTCCTGCAAAGTTCCAGTTACAAAAATTATTTGACAAAGGCTTACAGCTAAAAATCATCATCTTTCATCTCCTTTCTCTCTTAATTGTTTCATTATCATTTATCGCTTTCTTCTCAAATTTTCATCAAAAAACAGAAACATGTTGATTTGGCAGTGCTTGGCAGTATAGAGATCACACTTTGAAGATATTTTATGCCAACTATGCAATCTTATTTTCAATTTTTCTGGCTCCTCCCCCTTCCTCAGGGGCATTGACATCATTAAACAATGTTAATTTCTTTCCCCCTCTCTCTCTCTCTCTCTTTCTCCTCCCCCCTGCTCTCTCTCTCTCTCTCTGTCTCTCATTCCCCCCACACTCTCTCTATCCCTCTCTTTCTCCTCCCCCCTGCTCTCTCTCTCTATCTCTCGCTATCTCTTATCCTCTCTCTATTATCCTCTCCCTCTATCTTCATCTCCCTCTATCTCTCCCTCTCCCTCCCTCTCTCTCTTCTTCTCATACCTGATAGAATTCAGAGAAGCGGAATGGAGAGTCAGGCAGAGCCATATGCATGAGTAGGATCTCGATCCCGATGTCATCCAGATCCTTGGCCTTCTGCTTGGCCTGTCGCTGGAACGCTACATTCTTGTCATGGGGGTGGTCATCGTTAGTAAAGAGAAGAACGCGCTTGTGACCCACCTTCTGTGGACTGTCAAACAAGTTGAAAAAAATCATCATCATTTATTCTATTTATTAATTTATTTCTGATATTTATACAGGGTGGCACACATCACCAATTTGGTGGTCTTTCATGAGGCCTTGTTTGATTTGTTTGTACTATTTCAAAAACTTTTCATTTCCAGTAAAAACTGAATAATAATATGCACCAGTGCTGAAGTCTGGAATTCATTTACGGTTTAGTGTAAGATATTGGGAATTGAATGTGAAGCAATCGTCTCTGGAGCACGTACTGTACATCTGATGTAGGACAAATGGGACACACAGGAACTACATACATGCCAACATTTGAAAATCAGAAATCTGTACAAATTATGCTATTTTCAAAAAAAAGAGGAACAATCCTAACTCTCCTATTCAACACTACAGACAAATTTGTACAGGAAGAGGAACACCTGCATTAAAATGATAATTATCTTCTCCCAAAAAGAGGAATGTTCCTCTTTAATCTGAACAGTTGGCATGTATGGAACTATAAGAAATCATTCTATTCTGAAACGAACTGCATGTGAAGGGCCAAGTCAAGTACAGATCCATGGTCAACTCTACCATGATTTGATAATGTCATACCTTTGTGAAAACATGTTAGAACACGTCCAGAGGGCGTCGCTGAGGCTGTAGCCACTTTCAAATCCAAACTTGTTGGCAAAATCATTGTTGCCCTCTGTAGAGAGAGAAGAATGAAATTAAAAAATGAATGAAAAACGCATTTATAACAAAATGAACTTCAGTTAATCATGTTTGAATAGTTTTCTTTATCATGGCTCATTCACACATGTTTTGTCAATAAATGATCAGCTCATTCTTGTCACATTGTTTTTATAAGGAGGTATTTGAAGAGCGATCCTTTTTTAGGGGACATTTCTGCTTTGGTATTCTTCCAAAGTGACAAAGAATAAAAAGCTCACAAATTATTTCACATCTTCACCAGTCCAGAACACAACCTTCTCCTTAAGTTATCACCCATTAATTTATTAATCGATCAATCAATCAACCAACCAACAAACCAAACAAAAAAATAATCAATCAATCAATCCATCAAACTTTGGTTCTCCACTAAATCAATAATTTGCTGAAATATACAAGTAACCACTCAGTTATCCAACAAATGCGCAAGTGGCGATTGCTCTGGGCTTTATGGGGAATTACAGCGTAACAGACATGACATACACCCTTTCCAACATTTCGAGTATCCGGACTTATCACCTTATATCGATGATTTTTTGGCTACCCGGTAGTTAAGAATTTTCAAAGATTTTTCATGAAATGCCGATATAGGGCAAGTGAAACGGTTGCCATTGGGTTTTAGATTAGGTTTAGGGTTGCAATTAGGTAGTGTTTAGTCCAGGGTTGAAGTTAACTAGATGGAATTCGACTGCGCGCAGTCGAAAATGATGCTTCCGTCATAGAGCAATTTTACAAACCAAAACAGAAGAAATTTTTCGAATTCAAGTTCAATTGTAATCCATTGACAGGTTCTCAGAATATCGTGATTACAAGCAATTTCTCATATACATATATGACCCTTTGATCTTTGACCTCATGACCCTAAAATCTACTCAGTTCATTGGCTCTGCAACATGTCCTGAGTTAAATAGTAATCCATCTGTCAGTTCTAATGAGAATGCGTTCACAAGCTATTTTTGCATACATAATGAGCCCATGATCTTTGACCTTTGACCTTATGAACCAAGAATCTACTCAGTTCATTGGCTCTGCAAGTAACATACATGACCTAATTTTGGCAGGAATCCATCAATCGGTTCTTGAGATAACGCGATCACAAGCTGTTTTTGCATACATAATGTGTGCTGTGGCCTTTGACCTTTGACCTCATGACCACTAAATCTAATCAGTTCATCGGCTCTGCAAGTAACATACATGACCTAAGTTTGGCAGCAATCCATCAATCGGTTCTTGAGATAACGCGATCACAAGCTGTTTATGCATACATAATGAGCCCTGTGACCTTTGACCTTTAACCTCATGACCCCAAAATCTAATCAGTTCATTGGCTCTGCAAGATACATACATGACCAAAGTTTGGCAGGAATCCATCAATCGGTTCTTCAGATAACGCGATCACGAGCTGTTTTTGCATACCTAATGAGCCCTGTGACCTTTGACCTTTGACCTCATGACCCCAAAATCTAATCAGTTCATCGGCTCTGCAAGATACATACATGACCAAAGATTGGCAGGAATCCATCGATCGGTTCTTCAGATAACGCGATCACAAGAACGGGACGTACGTACGGACGGACGGACGGACAACCCGAAAACATAATGCCTCCGGCTACTTCGTAACGGAGGCATAAAAATCTGGTTAGTCTATGATATTAACCGACGTCGCTGGAGCAAGTGTGTCGTGTGATCAATCAATCAATTAAAGGCCATCTGTACTAGTTTGGCAAAGGGGATTAGACCACCCACCAAGGTAACTGACAGGTGGCTATCTCATCAACTCAGCTCTCAATTAACATAAGAAAAAGGGGATCATGGGGACCAACAGGCACCGAATAGGCATTGTTTGCTAATTGCTATATAGAGGGAGCAAGAAGCTACAAGAAGTACAGTGGGGCTTTATCAATCAATCAATTAAACAATCACACGATTTCATGACAACATATTCTGGATGTGAACATACCTGTAAGGAAAGACTCCAACTCCAGAATTCTACTGGCGCTAGGCTGATCAAGGTCCTGTTATGCACAAGAAAAATATAAATGCAAACTGAAATCAACTCTCAAAATAAAGGTAGACAGAAAATACATACATAAATAAACAAACAAACATGAAATGGTTGATTAGAAATGCATTAAGAGGCCAAGGGTTCAAATCCCGACACGGCACTAATATCCTTTTGCAAGATATTAACCTGCACCTGCTACTCTCCACCCAGGTGTTAAATGGGTACCCGGTAGGATGCGACTGTCATTGTTGGTCAAACAGTTTTTGAGCGTCAAGTAACGCCTGGCTGGAATGCTCCCCAGGGAGTGGAGATTGTGCACACATTGTGTGTGGGCAAGCACTGAATCAAATGACCGGGTTAATAGTATATATCTGTAAAGCGCTTAGAGACATTGTATTACACCCTATATAAAAGCAGAATATTATTATATTATTACGATATTGTCTCTATCAATTCTTTACAGCCAGTTGAAACATAAACATGATCAACTTGAGGCCCAATGGGCTTCGCAGTGTCATAGCAATATTGCCAATAATCTTCCCACTATCCCATCTGTCTGTTTTTTTCCAGGTTGACGTTGGATCTACGAGGGTCAGTCAATTTTAAAACTGTGACCATTTTGAATTAAACTAGAACAAATTTCCATTCAGATCAATGAAATCCCCCCCCCCCCCCTCCAAAAAAAAAAAAAAAAAAAAAATTATTTTAATGTTTTAAATGATAATAACAATCATGATAGTTGCTGGTTCCAATAAATGATAGGGGCAGTAATGTTGTAACACTTTAAATGCTTTCTTCGCCTCTTTGTGCAGTTGCTTGTTAGCAACAAATGTAATTCTGCACAAAACAATAGGCAACAATTCACTGAAGATTTACTTGAAGTGAAACGCATGGCTCTGCAAAACTACACATTTCCAGTCTTGGTTAGTTCCATCACAACCCTTTTAACACTGGTATAGATTAATTCAAACAATTCAATAATCTTGAACACTTCTATTCCATGATAAATATCTTGTGGCACAGGAGGCCTGTCTTCATCAGCTCGAGATTGCCAAATATCCCGCTATTTGAACTATCCTGATCGCAAATTATCCAGTTAATTTGCGTCTTCATCAGCCCGAAGTGGCAATTTGCGGGATATTTGGTCAAGATAATCATCCCAAGATATCTTGGGCTAGTTTGCAAAATATCCTGCTATTTGTCCTGTGCATCTTCACCAGCCCGAAGAGTTCCAAGGTCAAGTCTCGAGCTGATGAAGACACGATTTGTATCTTCAGGATTATTTCCCAAATCAGAAATAGCAGCCTATTTGGCAATCTCGAGCTGAAGACAGGCCTGAGGAGAACATTTGTGTGGCCTATAAAGAATTAAACCAACCGCTTACCTGAAGGGCATAGATATGTTTGAAACTTCCACTGTTTTTGTCCTTTTCTGTCCCAAAGAACACCACGCCAACCAGATCCTTATCACTGCTGATGATTTTGTTGCTTAGTACAGTCTTGGCACACTGAAGAATTGAGAAAAGAAAAGAAAACGTGCCAATGTGAACAAGGTCAATGTGTACTGGAATAAAGTGGCTGCCTCCAAAATGTGCAATAATATTCCACTTGCCATCAGAGAATCAAACAGTCTTGCCTTTTCTATTGATATCAACACCATACCGGTGAGTTGGCTCAGTCAGTAGAGCGTCCGCCTTACAACCGGGAGGTCGTGGGTTCGAACCCCGGCCGCGTCATACCAAAAGACGTTAAAAGACGGGAGTTGCTGCTACCTTGTTTGGCGTTCAACAATAAGGGATATTAGATAGGTCAACGTCGATCTGGCGCTGCTCAGTGGCTGCCGGGCTCACGATCAATTGGGCAAAAAGAATTTCCATTTTTGGTTTAACTTAATAAAATTTGGAGTGGACTTTAAAAGATTATTATTATTATTATTATTATACATACCTCAATGCTCATCTCAAAATGGCTCCTGTCATCGTCCTTCTCAAACATCTGCTCGGAGCAGTCGATGAGGAAGATGAGGCTGTCCTTCCCAGCATTCTTCCACTCGGCCCCTCCGTACTCCTCCTCATCATGGTCCTCGTCATCCCCTGCATCATAGTACCCGAAGCCAGAGTTTCCTCCCCAGTTGCTCATGCTTGCTTAGAGTACGGTTGTCAGGGCTGGACTCGTTCGTAGTACCTAGACTATGGACATTCAAAAACTTTCTTATGAATATTCATTAATACTCAAATCAAGATGGCTGCTGACGACAGGTCTTTCTCAAATAATTTGGGATCAGATTCAAAATAATAGAACAAACTATTAATATTATATAGCCGTTAAGGTGCAATTTTCATATTTTTCTATCGTGATAACGTCATTACGAACTCGTAACTTGTGCAGTTTTTTTCTTCATAATCATTTTGCCTTGTGCGTAGACTAGACCTAGATGAAAGATCTAGAATGGATAAAATTTAAATGAGAGTTTAAAATACAGCTGCAATATATGATTATGATTATAATTAGTAAAAAATTGGGCTAAAACTCATTTGCTAAGAATAAGATTAAGAATGGAATGGATATTATTATTAAACTGCTAAAAAATGTATAGACCTATGGAACTACACTAGCTAGGCACATTCATGGGGCACTAGAGGGCGCTTCGCGAGCGTACGAAAATCTGAATGGCCTTGCTGCGGTGGGTCGGCAATAATCAGCCCAAAACTTGGATATGGGAGGGTGGAAGGATATCTTTTTTATAATGTTATCCGGTCTTACCCCTAACCATCCTATGTTTAATCTATGTAGAAATAACATGCGAGTACGATAAGAGAAACATCGGGCCCATTACTGATGCAACTTTTTAAATATTAACCTAGAAATGACCACCAAACGGAAAAAAATGACATTTTTTTCCGACAAATCTTCATAAAATCTGAGTTATAAACAACTCACAACTAGGCTCGGTAATGCAAATACGATTTTCTGAAAATTCAGGTGTGATTTTTTAAGTTTCTTTCAAGTATATTTCTGCGCATCGCAGCGCAAATTTTCTTCACTGCTTCAAAATCACCCTTGAAATTTTTTTTTGCAACGAATTTGATACGGGGTCCGCGAGTGTTCCCCGTTCCTTGCGTATTGAAAGTTTGGTAATACAAAGTTTGCATTGACTCGCGCACGAAAAAATGGCTCGAAAACAAATGTCAAAACGAGAAATAAACAAGCTTTTGTATAGTTATAAGAGATCTACCGAGGTTTCTTTGTCGATATAATTTATTATATAGTCTCAATTAGAATTCAGAATTATCTCACTGAAACCGACGATGTTCTCGATCGTAGTTATTTTCACTTTGCCAGCAGACGTTCTAGCGTGGTTTTGGCAAAAAGCTAGCCCGCCACCTTCCCACCTCGAACCTTTCGAGTTCCGCTAAAATTGTGCGCTGCGGAGCTCCGAGGGTGCGTTGGTATCGCTGGCAAACTCTTGGGCGGCTAGCTCCCCACGACGGACCATTCGCGGTATGGCGAGAGTGTGTGTGTGAGATACGATTTTGGATTCGAGAACGCACGTACCACACAACCGTGCGCGTCATTTTCAGCTGTCGAATGTCTACGACCAATTTTACATGTACGATTTTTAGTACAGATACTTGGTCAGTTTTCTTCTTATATCTTTGGTTTTACAACATTTAAAAATATAATTTCTTCAAATTTGCTCCTGACTCAGTTCAGACTAATTGTCTGATGTGTTTTCAAGTCAATTTCTTGAATATATTTTTTTGCATGAATTTGCCTAACACTAGCGCCGATTTTTCAACATGGATGTCGATTTTGACCCATAATTTCCTGAAAAGGGACCATTAAACGCATTATTTCAGTCATGTTGGTCAGTGGAACACCGATAGCTTAGGACCATATATATATATATATATATAGATAATAGATATATATTTTCTATATCTGGGATATCTTATGTATCAGTTGGAGAAGGGTGAAGCTCCCATGTCAATAGCATCTATTTTTGTAAAGAATAACCAAATACACAAATACTCTACTAGGCAGGCTGCCTTATACCATGTATCATCAGCTATAACTCAGCTTAGGATTAATACACTTGCACATACTGGACCAAAGTATTGGAACTCTTTAGACTGTTCTATTAGGCAGTCTGTAAGCTCTTCTGTCTTCAAACGTAAGCTGAAATTTCATCTACTGTACACCTACAGTGAATAGATCTGATTTTTATTAGTATTCAATATAGGTAACTGGAATAGCATGTCCCCCCCCCCCCCCCCCGTGTTGTACATTATCCTCCTTCCCCCATTTCTTTACTTTTCCGTTATCTTTATTCTGTTTTCTTTTTTAGTCTACCATATTTTGTAAATTAGTGGTAGATCTGATATTTATTTATAGTCTGTATAGGTAACTAGATTAGTATTAGTCCCCCTCCCCCTGTAATATAACCTACTTCTTTAAAAAAAAAAAAGAAAGTTGTTTCTGTAAAGGTGATCTGTGTTTTAACAAGCTGTGGCCTGTGCTTTTTTAACAGACCACCTCTTTTTCCACATTTGTTAAAGTCTTAACTGTTTCATTGTTAATGTATTTATGCTAGTTTACGATGAACTTGTTACTACTGTTACTGAATGAAATGTTTTTTTTATGCAAGTGGAAAGAAATAAATAAATCTTGAATCTTGAATCTTGACCAAACATGGATATGATTGATTGATTATGAATATGAGCTGAAGTGTAATTTTAGCAACATCATCAACATCAACGTGTGGGACTAGGCACAGGCAGAGAGCTCGCAGTCACAATCAATCACTCACAAATAAATCAGTTTCCACAACTACATCTACATGCCACCAACAAAATTAGTCTAAATTTCAAAACAACAAATATACAAGATGTAATAGAAAGATAAAATGTACAAAACAGGCTAGCATACCCTTCGGATTTTTCAAATTTGTCTGCAGAAATGCAAAATGGTATGGTATGGTGTCTTTGCAGGAGCAAATCACTAAATAGTAGCGGCGCGGTTTCATCCCGGGGTTTCATTCAAAGGGCATGACCACTCCCCCCCCCCCCCCCCCCCCCCTTGATCACTTCAATTCAAATATTGCATTTCCGATGGATAGACATATGAGGGGGCAGGCGAATTCCTTATGTATGTGATATAGGGTAAGGCCTACATACAGCAGTGGTAGATTTTGGGGGGCACAAGGCGCACGTGCCCCCCGCCCCCCCCCCCCCCCCCCAGTAAAAAAAAGGGGGAAGGGGGAAAAGAAAAAGGGAGAGGGAGAAAAAAGAGGGGAAAAGAAAAGAAAAGGGAAGAGAGAAAAAGAAGAAAAGAGGGAGGAGATAGAGAAAAGGGAGGGGGAAAGGAAGAAAGGGGAAGAGAGAGGAGAGAAAAGGCAGGAAAGGAAGAAAATGGAAGGGGGGCACGCAATTTTGCAGTGTGCATAATATTGGGTCTCTCTTACCAGGCGTGTAGCCCCCCCCCCCCCCACAAAAAAGCACAATAAACAACAAAAAGAGATTGAAAGGGGGGGGGGGCAAAAGAGAGAATTTTTGTGAGTTAAAGGAGAAAGGAAAAATGAAAGAGAATTAAACAACGATAGAAAAGAGGTGCAAGATCATGAGGAATTGCATTTCTTTTAAAAGAATATTTGGATAACCACCCGGGGCGTCGATAAGGGGGATGTGGGGTGGCGACGCCCCCCCCCCCCGGCCACACACACCTGTCACTTTATTAATGAAAGGGAAAGAAGAAAAAGAAAAGGAAAGAAAGGAAAGAAAGGAAAGAGAAGAGAAGAAAGAAAGAGAAAAGGAAAAAAAGAAGAGAAAAATGAATTCAGACAAGGATTCAGAGTAATAATTTAATGAAACGTGAAAGCTTCCGTGCTTCGCCCGGGAGTGAGGAAACTGAATTCAGACAAGGATTACGGATCGAGTCGAAAACAGTACAACGAATCGTCTTCTTTCTCTAACGTCGTAGCTTCTGCGCTTCGCGCGGGACTCGATCGAGGGGCAAAACAAGAAGTAAGAGTCGGGAGCAGTACAACGAATCGTCTTCTTTCTCTAATAATTAATTTTAATGAAGTTTCAAAGCTTCCGCGGGGGAAACTAAAAAATTAGTTCCTGGCCCCGGGTTTATAGGGTTAAATTTGTAGACATTGTGATATTGGCATTAATTTATTTGTCGGTAATTGGTGGCTAGTTTTGTCGGTAATTGGTGTCCTTTACACACCCCCCCCCCCTCCGCCCCCCTCACCCCACTAAAAACGGTGTAGCGACGCCCCTGATAACAACACAGTTTATACACTCCAGATAATTGTTGCAAGTAGGCCTACTACTGGTGAAGTACCAGCAACGAAGCATAATATACAACAGGCGCGCCGGAAGCAGTTTGGGATTGGGGGGGGGGGGGGGGGGGGGGGGCAAACATTCCAGGGGGCTCACTTTCCAGGGGCAGTGACGTAATGAGAAAAGTTCGGAAGTGGGGGGGGGGGGGCAGACGAAAAATATGCATCACCACCAGTCTTACACGTTACATGCAGGTCCCGCGGAACGTTTTTCAAAGTGGAGTATTATCGATCAGGTAGAGCGTAAATTGACGTGGGGTCCAGGGCATAGGCCTCGGCAGGGAGTCAAGGGGCTGAGCCCCCGGAAGCTCAGGGGTTTTAGGTATTTAATTACGGTAAGATGAGCATCCAGGGGCCCTCTGTAAGGCAATTGACGTGTTCCAAGGGGGGGAGCCCCCAGAAACTCAGAGGTTTTAATATTTAATTACGGTCAGATGAGCATCCAGGGGCCGTCTTAGGGCCCTTGGTGTGGTCCAGAGGGCAGAGCCCCCGGAAGCTCGGGGGTTTTAGGTATTTAATTACGGTCAGATGAGCATCCACGGGCCCGCCTTAGGGCCCTTGGTGGGGTTCCAGGGGGCAGAGCTTCCGGAAGCTCAGGGGTTTTAGGTATTAAATAACGGTCAGATGAGCATCTAGGGGCCCGCCTTAGAGCCCTTGTTGGGGTCCAGGGGGCAGAGCCCCTGACGCTCGGGGGTTTTAGGTATTTAATTACGGTCAGATGAGCATCCAGGGGCCCGCCTTAGGTCCGGGGGTGGAGGCCCCGTAAGCTCTGGGGTTTTAAGCATTTAATTACGGTCAGATGAGCATTTTTTATACCTTATTTGTGACATTGGCAGGTCACTTATTTTTTTTTCCGTCTTTCTTTCTTTTTCTCTTTAACATACTTTTTAAAAAAAGGAGGGGGGGGGGGCTCGAGCCAAGCCACTTTGCAGACCATGACATAAAGGCTTCTAAATAAGCGTATTTCGCCTGACAGTAATGTGGGAATTTCTTATTTTCCAACAAACGCATAAAAAGGTATGACTTACAAAAAAAATGGAGAAAAAAATGCCGGAAAATCATGTCACAACATCAAAATTTCTAAATCACTTGTTTCGAATAAGAAATACATTACCCCCCCCCCCCATCAGTACGCCAGCGTTCAGGGGCTCATGTCTTCTCACCCCTACAACAAAAACACGGACACGCTTTCCCATTCTCGCACAATATGTCCACGATATGCGCGTATCGCTATTATAGAGACCTCCATTTAAAATACCGTATAGGTGGCATGCGCAATGTTTATGAAATTTAATTCCTGTGAACTTTCCTTTTTCTTTGAATGGAATTGTATATCTGATTTAATTCAGGTTTTTATTATTGTTTCGTTCTTTTGGATTAAAAATACAAACCATGTTTACTCCTTTACTGTTTTGTTTGTTTTTTTTTGGAGGGGGGGGGGGCGTTTTGGGGGGGCAAAAATGCGTTTTGCCCCCCCACTTTTTTGATTGGGGGGGCAACTGCCCCCCCTGCCCCCCCACTTCCGGCGCCACGTCTCGCGACGTGACTCGCGTCGTGATAGATAACTTTTCTCTAACTTTTATCCAATCAGAAGGCCTCGTTTTTTCTCTCCAGAAAGTGCAGGGCAGCGTTTCTCGAAACCGTCATAACTACAAGTTCACCGACATCCCATTGAAAGGCGTGTATTAAGTTTAACACACGTTTCAATGGGATGTCGGTGAACTTGTAGTTATGACGGTTTCGAGAAACGCTGCCCGGGTGGACACTAATAATGCGCCAAATGTGGTTCTCAAATTGCAAAATATCCCTATTTTCATATATTTTACCCCATGCGATTTTGTGCTCCCCCCGTAAGAAATTCCTGGATCCGCCACTGATACAGAGGCCATAGTTTGCAGCTTTTTTTCTGCTTCCACTTATCATGGCTGTAATATGATATATAATTATTATGTGGTATAATGTTTGACAACTTTCCTTTTGTATTTTGTTTTGTTTGCCTTACTATAAGTGTGCACTTTTGTACCTTAATTTATATCGTTGTGAAAATAAAATAAAATTATGAAAGTTATGAAATGTGTTATAAGGCTCTGCCCCCGGTTATTGATCTTTAGGGGACGTCGATCATCTTTCGCTACAAATGAATAATTTTCAATGATTAATTCAAGTTAATTGTAACTTAATTATTTCGATATTTGTAGTATAGGCCTACTTAATTGTATATAGATAATCCAAAGTTATGGATGCCATTTCCATCACTGATTGAGAAAGATCTGAGGAGGGAGAAACATCATAAACATGTTTATACCACTGGTTTATACTACATAGGCTACTTTGATTCTTTAACCTTTGGTGTATAATTGACAAATATATAATCTCTTACATAAAAATGTCAATATTAATGTATAATGTATATAGGAGGGGATATCTTGCAAGCCGTACCTAGTCAAACCTATCTTGGAGTTGAAATTCATGAGCATCTCAGCTGGAAGCCTCATATCAATGCCGTTGCAGCAAAAGCAGGAAGAACCTTGGGATTCCTAAGAAGAAACATCAGCAAATGCTCATCGCATATTAAACAACAGGCCTACATCTCCTTGGTACGCTCCCAGCTAGAATATGCCTCCGTCGTCTGGGATCCATACAGACAAAATCAGATTGACCAGCTTGAGAAAATCCAAAGAAGGGCAGTACGCTTCATATGCGGAAACTACCAACGAGATGCCAGCGTCACCAAAATGAGAGAAGATCTAGCACTCCAACCCTTAGAGGAGAGACGCAGGCAAGCCCGATTAACCATGCTTTACAAAGCCATCAACCACCTAGTCGCAGTACCAATTCCAGACTACATCCAACCAAGACTCCGTTCAACACGTCAGCAACACCGACACAGATTCATGAGACCCAGCTCCAACTCTGACAGCTACAGGCAAAGTTTCTTCCCAAGAACACTCCGGGACTGGGATGAGCTCCCTACCAACTTCATTGAACTGCCCTCTGTGGAGAA